GTGCTCAAACACAGTGCAAAAAGGGAGACAGTTGCCAAAAAAAAACATTACCTGCAAGTAATCGCATCCGGCTAGAATACAAATTCTACGGAACTTCTCAAAATCGAAATTTTCTGCCAACGCTCTACACAAACACTTTGGCAGTAAAGCTTTCTCGAAAATAACACATGAGCCTGTCGGATCCATTTTGAAGATAATCTGCAAAAAAAAGCACTAACTTTTTTTTAAAAAAGACCCTAATGGTATAATTATTTTGCATTTCGTGCTGTGCAACAGCTGCACAAAACACATATTGTCACGGCGTTATCTGCGTGTATGTGTGGTGTGTGTGTGTATGTGTGGTGTGTGTGTGTGTGTCCGATGTATCTTGTCCGCAACATTCAACTCGGAAACCACAAAAGCTAAGAAGCTGAAAGGAATATTCCTCGTCCACGTGGATTCCACAAATTTAATTTCAACCTTGCCCGGCTCCCGGAGTACCACGCACTACCCCGTCAAAGTTTTGGCAGGCAAAGTTGTTATCTCGGGAATTATGAAAGCTAGGAAGCTGGACTTTTAGGGTAATGACTTCTGCTCACAAACGACCTCGCCCACTTAAATTCTGCCTCCCCGTGGGCATCACCGGGGCATCACTTATGGCGCTGTGGAAATTTTCTTGGAGAAATTATTATTTCGGGAGCTATGAAGGCTCAGAAGTTAAAATTTTGCAGCAATATCTCCTGCTCACACACAACCATTCACAAATTTAAATCTAGTCTTCCCGCACCCTCAGGCATCATATACGGACCTATAAAAGTTTTGGCGGGGAAATTATTGTCTCATGAACCACAAAAAAAATTAAAACTTTACGGTAATTTCCCCTTTTCAAGTACAACTCCGCAACTTTAAATTCAGCTTCCTCCTAGGTTTGGATACCATGTATGAACCTGTGAAAGTTTCGGCGGGGAAAATTATCTTGGGACGAAAGTTGGGGACCTGAAATTTCACGGTATTGTCCCCTGTCCACGTACGATCCCGCAAATTAAAATCGTCGAAAGATTATTAATCAGAAGCCAGAAGACGTAGAAGGTTGAGAATTTCAAGCAAGTGTCTTCTATGCAGAGGCTACACAAACTCAAATTTAGTTTCTAGTATGCAGAGGTCTCATGCACGACCAGTAAATGTTTTGGCGCGAAAATCATTCAAAAGCCAGGAAATTAGGAGGGTGATTTGGAAGGATGTTCACCGTACAAGGATTTTAGTGGGGAATTTCGCAAATTAGGAACCAGGAACTAGACAACATTTCAACTATTATTGTACAGGCCAAAGCGCAAATTAGTGAAAGTCCTTAGCAAGCAAACGTTCGCTGGAAGGAAGTGCGCAAAACGCATTGTTGCACTGGCTATCGTGGTGCGCGCCGCTATTTGTTGAATACTACCGCTTCAAAACAGTTCATAAGGTAAGAAAACTGCCTTAGGTACACCGCCAAATCGATTCAATTATGAGAAAACCTCAAAAAGCTTCACAGCCGGTAAAGTACCACATTGTAGTTTAGAAGTGATAACTTTCAAGACTAGGCAGTGATACTCGACATATATTATTAAGAGATCTTGAGATAGCTACAGCCCCCCTAAGTGCTCTTGTCAGAAGAAAACTGCAAACTGCCCAGAAAACGAAAAGAATACTGCGATCGCCATCAGGCAATGCTAGCACCAGTTGTATGATGGAAAATCAGACTATGCCAAGCAGTCCAATTCATCAAAAAATGCATTTTCTAAAAAATGAACTCTGGCACTCCACTTCGTCCACCAACTAAGTATAATGAGTGTAAGTTTAGTGTATGTTTACAACCAGCCCATTATATGGAAAAACAAAAAACAGACCTTTTCACAACCGAATGCAATGAGATCTGAATCCTCGGTAACTACTGCTTGAACCATTTTCGCTTTCGCCAGAAAAGCAAGCTGCGCATCCGATTCGTACGGTGCAACAATTATATCAACCATATTCATGTGCCGGAATGCCTTCAACAACCTTGATTTTCAAGCTGAATTTTCATGGCTTCCTACTTTTATGCATTTTTTGCATCTATGCAACGCAAAAACTCATATTGACGAGAGGTTCCCTGTTTGTTCGTCTGTACCGATTTTTCATCCCAAGTCCTACGAAAGCTACAAGGCTGAAGCTTTGAGAACTTAATCTACATGCATGTACAGACCTCAATCCCTTTTGACCACATGGTTCCCATCCACAGGCCCAACAAAATTTTTGGGAAGTTGTTAATTCGGAAACCAAAGATGCTATAAAGTTGAAATTTTAAACGGGATGTTCCTGAATTCAAATTCAGCCCCGAAGTATGCATGGCTCCCACCTACGAGCTCGTGAAAATTTTTCGCGGGTAACTTGCTAACTCGGGAACCTGAAAAACTAAGAAGCAGGGATTTTAGGGGAATGTTTTCGCACAATCGTGGTGGCCAGTCTCAATTTTTTTAGCTAGAGGCATTTGCCAGGAAAAACAGCGCTGTTAGAGACAAAAAACTGCGGGTAACTATGCAAAAAACGCATCTTCGTGCCGGCAGTCGGTGCGCTGGCCAATTATTGTTGTATCAAGCATGCGGTCCGCTGCGGTGTACTGTCTAGAATTCGGCTTGTTTTTCTTACCTGAATAGCACTCTCAATAATTTCAGTTGTAAGTGAGGCGCTACGTTTAAAACAATCATAAGCTTCGCTGGCTCTTCCTTCGCTCAGCAAAAGATCACCCCTCTGCTTGAGGAAATCACGCTTCTCACGCCGTGAGCTGTTCGTTTCCTGAAATTGAATAAATGATTGAGTCGAATCCGAAATTATAAAGCGTATGTACCCAGTGGCACTGAAAATCACCTTTTTAGCCGGAAGTGGCTGCCCATCGAAGACCAGAATAACGTGGCAGCCATTTGTGAGCAAAATGTTCACGTGTTTC